GATTAATCATCGCGCTTATCCTCGATGTAAAATCTTTTCGACCTCCGAGGACAGTCTGTCCTTGGATTTATCTAGGCTTTAACCGAAGAATTTACTATTAGGCCACCGTTATTGAGAACAGAAATTTAAAAAATTGACAGAGAAAGTAGATCTCTGATTAAACAACTAAATTTCTAGTCGATCTACTCTTCAAACTTTTGCACAAATTTAGATCTTCGAGCTGTCAAGGAAATCCAAACAGATCCAAAGCATCGGAATACCACGATATTTTCACCACGAGAAACAATCGCCCGGTTATTCACAGTCAGACCAGAGTTAAGTTAACCTCTTACGCTGGAATGACGTGCCACATCGAGAATTTTTTTATCCCAAAATTGCAACATCTCAGTTTTATGTATATTTAAATGTAACCCAGGCAAAACAAATGATAAGTTTATCACTTCTTAATCATTTCTATCCAGTGATGTCGTATCGACGAGTTCAAAAGAAAAAGATAGCGACGAATTGTTGTATACGGTCCGGTCACTCGTTATGGTCCGCAATCAGTTGCCAGCGCGATGGGTTAAGCACCAAAACGAAGGATGATCGCGACGATAATTAGCCACGAGACGTGTTTTCGTCGCGAGATGATCGCACGAGACGCGGGGACACCGCGGAACGTTTACGGAAGTAGATACCGAGCGTCTCGCGCGATGAAATTTTTGGAGGGACGCCAGTTCGATGCCGGATGTGGATGGAGCTTAAAGGCTGAGAAACCTGGCCGCTTTCAGGGAGCAACGTCCTACCTTCTCCTCGAATATAGTCGTACGCAGGGCGAAGCTGGTGGTAGAGAAGGCACGAACGACGGAACAACAGGGAGAGACCGGCGAATGGACAAGGAGAAGAGACCAGGAGAGTTGTTCCATCGTGGTTTAAAGGAAAGGCGAGAGAACGTATACCCACGGAGAGGAGCCTGTCTACCCATCGAAGGGTCGAACTGTCACGATCGTGAGAAGATTTTTGTCTCCTCTCGCGTTTTCCTCTACCGGTCGTGATCTCTTTTCTTGTGCGCTCCCTTGGTGATCGACGACAGCTAGTCCGAGAGACCAAGACGATGTTTGCCATGGGGAATTCGCGTTGGGGCTGCTGACTGGTTTCTTCGGCTATTTTCGCCGAATAATCTCCGAGCCAGATAGCCTCTCGCAGCAGGATCTACGCGCAGATCTGGCTGAGATACGAGCAAAGGCTCGGTCTAATTTACAAGATCCTGTTCGGTGAACGCGATACGCCTTTAAAAAGCGCTCTGAGCGGTTTGATAGTGGTTTAAAGGCGGGTTTACGTAAGGGGCGAATTTTCCGTCTGTTCGTATCGTTCCGATGTTCGACAGTGTCCGAGTTAAAATTAATAGGAATTGGTCCCCGAATCTTTTCACGTTTCTGTTTCCCTTTAATTTCAACCGGCGAGGAAGAGACCTTCCAGTCGTTGGAAAATACGACTCGATTGAAAACGGCTCAAAGGACGTGTAGCGGAGGTTCGAAGCTTTGGTCTTTCGTACATTCAGTTCAGTATTTTCTGAAACGTACAAAGGACGAAGATCTGAAATAGCTGTGTAACGAGCGCGAGAGAGTGAAACGTCCCTCCCTTACAGAAACGTCGAAAAGTTTGATTTGAAACTTGATTTGAAAGGTACAAATCGTAATTGATAAAGAGAGACTTTCGCGTAAAAGTATTTTATCTTCCTTCGAATATATCGCCAACGTATTTTTCGAGGATTGGAAATATAAGAAATACATATATATATATATATATATATATATATATATATACATTACCTGATAGAGAGAGAGAGAGAGAGAGAGAGAGAGAGAGAGAGAGAGAGAGAGAGAGAGAGAGAGAGAGACTCGGAGGGAAACGTTTCTTCGAGGTAATTTGCATGTCTCCGAAAATAGGCTCGACTGACAGGACAGAATTGCCGCGACCGTTCGGAAATACGAACGACACGAATGAACGTGAAACACGTGAAACAGGTACGAGAGACGGTGATTGCATTCAGCCGGCTGTTTCTTATCGCGACGCGAGGTTTCCCGCTCCCAGGGTACCTGCCCAGATCTGTTATTAAATCGAGCATTAAAACGAGCGACTGTCCGCCGTGTGATTTCTTACAACGGATCCGCGAAAGGTAAAGAGGGTAAAGTAATTCCTGGCGTAATTGGAAGGCAAGTTCTCTCGCGGAGAGTCGCGTGACGAGTGTACGGCAAAGTAGGCTAGAGAGATAAAACTTTAATCACTTAGAACCTCGTCGAGAGGTCGAAGGTTCTTCTCCCTCCGAATTACAAGTGTTCCCTGGTATTTTAAACTCTTCCTGGAGATTAGAAATTCAGGCTTATCTCGGGGGAACTACGTTTCCCCAAACCCAGCGTCTCCAGACACTCGTTTTCGCGCGGACGGATCATTATCCAGAGCAATTTTATCGTTCCGACGATTCAACGATTCCTCGAACTCGATCGACACAGATCGGCGAGAATTCCATTCGACGCGAATGTGGGGAGAAAGAAAAGGCGGCGACGGCTGGGAGGCTCGTGTTCCCTCTCGTCGGTGGATCGATCGGTCGCCAGCCGGTCGAAAAATCTCGTTGTTGCCGCGAAATCGATTCATCTCGAGACGCTGAAGCACACCGGGATCGCTTTCAGCCTTGTAAAAAAGGTGTCTGTAAACAGCTGCAGCTGATGAGCAAAGCCTCCTTTCTCCCGCTGAAACCTTACCAGGCGATTCGAACCAGATAACTCTCAGACCGCCTTCGGCCAAGTTCGCCAAAAAAAAGACCAACGACCTTAAGTGTCGGCGACGTGTTCTTTGGTCTCTCGATCTCTCCCCCGAACCGTAGCTCGAGATATCGCGCTCGGTTCGAACCGTTCGAATCTCGTCTTGCAAATTGTCGATTCGTTCTACAAATTGTACGAAAGTTATAAATAAACGCACATGGATGGAACGTGAATGTCTGGAAAAAATATCTATAATTTTACGTAGGAGTTCGCGCAACGAAACTACGCGCGTAGTTTAGGAAGGGTTAATCGATCGTTTCCGATCGTCAGACGTCCTTTCAAAAAAACATCTCGACGAGAGACCAGTCCAGGGCCAGACTGGACCCTCGATAGCGATTGGTAATTGTATCGAGCCTCGCGAGTCGCCGGGTCCATCGGGGATGCATCATCGCGACGCCGTTCGTCGAGGGCCACGCACAAGCTCGGACGCTGTAACTAGCGAACAATGCAAACAATCGATGCACCGTCGCGATTCATCTGCATTCAATCCGCCGTCGGTTCCTGAATTATTGTTCTCCGATGATCGATCCACCGCTCTCCCGATGCAACCCACCGCTCCAACCAACATGTTGCAACCGTTTTTGGCCCTGTGCGGCTCTTCCCTCTTCGGGTTTCGCCCTTTCTCTCTCTCCCCTCCTACTCCCCTCTTTCTCTCTCTCTCTCTCTCTCTCTCTTCCTCTCTTTCGACAACCGGCCAAGATTTGCCCGAATGGCGAAGCAGGAGGGGAGGAGCGCACACAATTGCGGGACTGGACGAACGCGGACCAACAACTCGCCCGGCGAGATCGAATCTCGAGAAATTCTACGGGAATCCATTGCCATATTCGTTGCTCTCTCCCCTTTCCAACGGGACGTCGAGTGTCCCTCTTGGCGCGTAATTGCGCCTCGCGGAACGGAGTAGTCGCGTCAGGCCACAAATTCGACGCGGCTATCCGTAATTCTTACAACCGTGACGTGTTACACGTTTCTTCGCGAAGCGGAAGCAGGTTTTCCATTCTATGCGCGAAAAATCTCCGCGGTTGCGGGGAGCAGCGGTAACTGCTTACGCAACGAAGATTTATCGTGTCGAATCGTACTTGACTCCAATTACGAGCGAGCAAGACGAGCTTAGTACGAGCGTTTCAATTGAAGGTGGCCAGATTCTTCGGCTCCGCGGTGTCACGGGTCAACCAACTCGCCGCTGCGCTTGTCGCTACTCTGCTTTACGTAGCGTTAATAGACTATAGGCTATAGATTCTGAAAGCATTATCACGTAGACTTTTATGAGCACGCAGAGATCCCGTTTCTTTAACCATGTCCACAAAGATGTCTACTCGTTGTAGTATTTAATGGACGAAATAGTTTAAACTCTCAAGTTTCTTCAATCTACGAAGTTCTACTGATTGAGTGAGCCTGATTCGTTATCACACCGTGGACTTTTATGAAAGATGCAAGGACTTTACTTGGGTTACTTTACTATCTCGCAACGTTTCTCACCACTCGCGCTGGCAACTGATTGCGGACCATAACGAGTGACCAAATCGTATACAATAACATATAATTCGTCGCTTTCTCTTTGAACTCATCGGTACGCTATCAGCAGCTGGATATAAAACTATTGAGAAGTAATAAATTGATTGTTTTGCTTTGTCTGGGTTATACTTAAAACTGAGAAAATATTGCAACTTTGAGGACGAAAAATTCTCGACGTGCGTGGCACGTCATTCCAGCGCTTAAGAGCGGAAATAAATATTTTTACTTCGCTCCTGTTTCTTTAAATCACGTCCACGAAATTGTCTGCTCGTTGGATGATAACTCACGGAGTTTCTTCAGTCGTGTTCTACGAATTTGCGTAGAGGTCCGCAGTCCAGAGCCATTAGGAAGTCGCGACACGCGACTGGAAGGAGTCGATAAATAATTCTTGCCGGTATCTGTAGACGAGACTAAACAGCCCGTAGACAGTCACCGATCGCCTGAATTATCCACGAGCCGATAGCACGAGACCGTGTCGACGATTCCTCCTGGCTAAGAAACTGACGGCGTCCGCCAGCTGAGACCCGGTCGCGTGACTCTTTTTCTAACCAGTGTGTTTTCTACGATGGATAAGTGACGTGTTCACACACACACACACACACACACACACACACACACGGCGATGTTCCGTCATCGAAAGGGGTGAAAAGCGGTTTCAGGTGGGTTGGTCGTGACGAGTACACTCACCGGTACGATATCCTGCGTTGCTCAGGTAAGCGGCGAACGAGTGCGGCTCGTGATCCCGTTGCCACTGGGGGCTGCTGCAGTTGTCGTTGTTCGTAAAGACCTCGTGATTGTGAACGTAACGGCCGGTCAGCAAGGAGCTCCTGCTCGGACAACACATAGGAGTGGTCACGTATGCGTGTCTCAGCTCGGCTCCCTCGTCCCTTATTCGCCTTAGGGTCCGTGGCATGAAGTTCAGCGAACCTGAGGGATTGGACCAACCGCAACACACGATCAGAAGGAGCGTTCGACAGAGAGCTCTTCGGGCGAGGATCGAAGGATAGATAGGGGGGAATCTTTCTTTCATCGGAGTGAAGCCGGGCTACGGTTTTCGGAGAAACACCGGCTCCGTAGCGATTAAATTTGATTCTTTTTCTACTTTTCTTTTTTTTTTTTAGTACCGTTGTTTCTTTCTTCTTTGGGTTGGATTTAAATCTGTTAAATTTGCTGAGGGGGGGAGGTTAAATTCGAGGGTTGAAAAGAAGATTCGATCTGTTGGGTCTACTACCTTCAGTTATGAAAGTAGACACGGTTATTAGCTGAAAGTTTCACGCAGTACGTTTGCCATTAACGGGTTCAGAAAATGGAGATAAAAACGATATCGTTCGGTGATTCCGTCACTCGGGGAACGAACAAGAATTATGGTAGCGATAACAGGTAGAAACGCGTAGAAACAATGAGTCACGGTTTTTCCAGGCTTGGTCGATACACCTCAGCCAAGTACGCTTAAACAACGTGTTAAACAAACTCCTCGTGTAGGTCTGGCAGCCTCGAGAGAAGAAAAAGTAGCGACAGAGACGTAAAAGGGAAGTGAAACTAACCGAGTTCAACATCTTGATCGTCCGTCAGAATCAGCACTATGTTGGGCTTCCTCTCTCTGGGCTGCTGGTACGGTAGATAGGGCGAGTTTGACTGCGAATTGTAATTGTTGTTGCCGCCGTTGTAATTAGACTTGTGAAGGGAACCACCACGACGCTGGCTGCCGCCGTAAACGTCATCGACAGGGGCGTCTGCGTCCGTTCGCCTGGCATTGACACCCAACAACAACAGCAGCGCCAAAAACTGCAGTAACTTCCTCATGGTGGTTGATCGTCGGTTGCACGCTCTTCCTCTCAATCGAGTGTCATATCATGGCGGTCGGTTGCTGTAACAAGCGGGGCGTGTCTTACGTTAATGAACAGTTTTGCTTGTGACGTTGATTGGACGGAAAGTCGATAAGTCTTTTGTAGAGTCTAGTGTGATTGCGCTCCAAAGGCATCGGGCCCCTGTGCGTAAACCTCTTTCTTGTTCTTTGCTTGTCAATTAATTTCTTTCCTTCTTTCGAGCAACTTTCGACTGACGATCGGCTCAGCCGGTGGTTTAGAATTCCCATCGAAACCACCGATGTCCAATCGAGCATTATCGTTCGTTGGGAATTAATCGTCGATCCGCTGTACTGAACAGTGGGCTACGAGTGTTATTAAACGACACCGGCGAGGTACGGCTCGCCGACAGCCTCCAGCGATTTCCATCGATTCTGGATCGGGTTTCGAGTTCCATCTCGTCTCTCTGGCAATTCAAAATTTAAATTAAAAAAAAAAAAAAATGGAACCTCGGCAGATGATCGTTTCACACGGCAAGCACCGTCGGATATTTCATATAATTTTCATTTTGTATTTTGAATATTTCTACAGAAATTCGGAATGTAGTAATCACGCGCCGGAAGCATATGTACGTGTTTTGGGTGACGAGGCAGCGAAGGTAGTCTAATACCACGCGTAGAAAGATCGCACGATCTGGTAGTTAGATCGCTGAAAGCTGAGATTCTTGTGAGACCGATTGTGTAACAGCTTAATGCAGGATACACGGCTGCTAATTACTATCAATAACTCGACGAGCAGCAGGATCATGCGAAACAATTAACCAACGACGCCCGCCGTTAATCCGTTAATCCGTGGTTTCAGTTATAATGGAGCGTAGGATAAAGGTGCTTAATATGAGACTCGTAACATTTCCTAAAGAGATTCTGATCAACGACAACTTTCGACGATCTTACTGAAGCAATCTGTTACCGACTTGAACTCTTTTTAATATTCTTCGTAATTTTCTACAAGTGCCATCAAAGTGGTAATCATTGCGTACTGTGAATTTGATGTCGTTGCATTTAGAAGGCGGCTCGAGCAACTCGTTTAGACTCTCTCTAATATTTTTCATAATTTTCTACAAACGCTGGCAATCATTACGTACTATTATTAACTTCTTTTTATATTCAAGTACAAAGTAATGGAATCTGATGCATTTGAAAGGCAATATCGTGAAAATACGATGCGAGTCATGTCCCATTTCAAAAGTTCACGTTGAAACATGCGAAATCTGCTTCTTTTCACACCTCTATCGAACGGTCGAAGCAGACGCGAAACGCGACGTGATCCCCGTAACTAAAGAGTGAAAGACGAATGGCGGAGGAGAGGCGGTGAAGGTCTTGCCTCGGCAAGACGAAAGATGAAAGAGACGTAAAAAAAGGAACGGTCGCGACCTGACCGGAGTTACGGGGCCGCGCGTACATCGCGCGACCATAATCGGACAGTTGGGGTTTTATGGCAACCCTCGGTCGCATTCCGCGAACAATCGACCGCCTCTTCTCGTAAATAGTCGTTAGCACCTGAATTATCCCGCGCGACTCGGCTGGCAGACGGCTTAAATCAACGCCGCTTCTTCTCGAGCTCGCGATACTTCTCAAGATGGCGGGGACAGTTATCGCGGCTGGTGGTATATCCAACATGATGGATGTTGCCGCGCGAACGTGCGCCAAGCTGGTTATTGAATTATCTAGGGGAAACATCGAACACCTGTGCTTGATCATTCTCTAACAGACAGATCGATCGTTCCTTCCCTCGATACTTCGCGCAGCAGTGGTAGAGTTATTCGAGTCGTTCGAGCTTCAACGTCTTGAAAAGTTCAATCTCGAACTTCGTGACGATCAAATCCGTGACGTGTGTTACCTTGTAAAATTATTCGTATAATAACGAACAAAATAGGCGACAATGTAATTTTCAGAGATAAAAAAAAAAAAGTGTAACGTGGAATATAGAATTATATTCCTGTAAAAAACTATGACTGTTATAACTTATTAAGATTAGCGTAATCGAAATCGTATAGAACTAGGTCACAATCGAAATGAAATTGCAAATCTGACTGAAATGACCGGTCACGTCGATTATTTTCATGTATCGTAGGCAGGGGAGATATTTTATGATCGCTTGATTTCTTTTTCTCTCTTCTTTTAACACTAGAAAACTATCAAAGCGGTGAAACTGACCAATTTATAATTTTCTAGAGTAATTTCGCGGATTTACAATGTTACATTTTTTAGACGTTCGAGTGGTTTTTGTGAAATATATGATTTCATTTCATATTCCATGCAGTCTAATTTTTTTTTTTTTTTTTGACTCAATTTTTATACTTTGGTCCTCGGTAGCTCTAGTATTAAAGAGATCAGCGATCGAACAGCGTGAAAGAACGGAAGGTGGAGGTTTTACGCCAGGAAGTGGAATATGGATGCAGATAACTGAGCGGCGAGTGAATTTACGATGCGGTTCGAACGGGTTCCCACGGATCTCGTTGGAAACGGCGAAAGAGAGACAGACAGACAGAGAGAGAGAGAGACTTTTTCGCGACGATCGGTGGTATTCGCCTCGCGATCTTTTTCCACTCTCTCTATTCTCGACCTATTTCCGAGAAAGTGCCGCCTTTTATTAAATTTCCCGATACGTGCCCACTCTGGTCTCCATGTTACCACTACGCGGCTCGAATAAGGAACGGTCCCCCTCCTTATTGTTGTTCCACCTCGCCGAAAAACTTTCGCCATTGTCCCGGACAGCGCGATAATAATTCCGCCTTTGATTCACCGCGATATGATATTAAACGTAGTATATCAAGCTAATATCCTCCGTATATTTATACGAGCCGCGCGGTTGAGGAAATGACTCGAATAAGTACTTCGCGTAAAGTTCACGGCAAGTATGCGCGCGATGCCTATATAGATCAGAGAAAGCGAGACTTCATCTTTACCGCGGCCATCTGGCGAGCGATACATCACGGCCAGCAACAGTTTTTCGCGCGCGAGAAAAAGGATAATGCAAGGGACATCGGCCATCCGTTTCTACGTAACCATCTTCGCGTCTTTTATCCGCATTTACGGAAAGAATCCTCTTCGGAGACAATATCAATGAATCGCCAAATTAGCGAAGAGAGTTCTCAAGTTGGGAAGTGGCTGGAAGGTTGCTGGGGTGCGAATCCAATGCGAATCAACGAGTCTCGCGTTAATTACTGCTAATTGATAATCGCTTCTCCCGAGTGAAGCGGCGCAGGCAAATCCGAAACAGGATACGTGGAGAGTGGGTGTTTGAAATATGTAACATGCCCCTCTGACTCTCTTGACGATACTCCTCGTGGGAACTGTCACAAGGATCCTGTCGCGACGGATTACGTAATTTATCATCTTGGTAATTGGCTGTGTGTGGACGTCGATTAATTTGCGGAAGTTCGAGGGGCGAGAAAAGTTCCTGGATGAAGTCGCAGAGGAGGAATGTGTTGAAAGAGGCGTTCTTTCGATTAGTTTACTAGAATTCGACCCAGATCATAGTTCAGAATTTTTCATAGAATGAGTAGATACAGAGGGAAGAATTTTATTGACTAATTCACATCGACAAGGTTTGGAAATCTCAGGCGAGGAAAGTAAATGCGCTGTGCGTGTGAGAGGCTGTACATATATGGCCTAATTAGTTGCTTTGAAGCATCGGTCTAAAGAAACGTCGCTAAATTCGTTTGTCTAAAATTTGAGACGACACTGATTACGATGAGGCATCTATTCTTTTTTTGGATTGTCGGTAAATAATCCGCAGCGTTCTCCAACGCATGGCAAAACACATTCGCAACAGTTCACCAAATTCTATATAGCCTCGGCTGTCTGGCAGGGTTCATGCTCGACCAGAGCTCGACAGAGCTCGGCTAAGAATAGTAAAACAATAATCCCTCCGTTTGTTTCGCAACTACGGCAATTGAGTAACTGCATCGCCTCGCGCCGAGACGTAACCGGCGACATGCAGTCGCACAGGCAGGAAATGAGTCCAGAATTTTTCGAGAAATTCTGCTGCTCGAATCTCTCGATATCGTGGCCACGTCGCGGTAAACTCACGAACTCTCGAGAGTTATTTTGTCGTCGAGAAATTCGTTCGCTCGCGTCATGTGACAAATAGTTTAAATGTCCATGGAATTAGAGAGACGAAGAAAAATCACAGAATCTGGATGAAAGACGCAAGAATCCTTGAAATTTCTTTTCGCAACAAAACGAATTGACGAGTGAACGACGAATTGATCTCGACACGAAAGCGACACACGCGTTTCCTCTTCTTCGAGCGATTCTTACTGGAACGGAGCAGCGTTGGTTACACACAACGCTGGCTCGTTCACATTCGATTCGCGTCGTGCCACGCTTTGTACGTACGCGTAGTCTTCCTCGTTTCCACGCGTTGCGTATAGAATCACGTTCGATGGGCCGAGAGTCGCTAACATCGGGAGCGTAATTTACGTGCGCGCAATCACGCTGAAAGCTGGCGTGGGTGGCCTCTGGCAGAGGCCATCGACAGATGTACGCTATATACGGTCGGAGTAGGTCGCAGGTAAAACGGATGTTACGTATTATTCCGAATGTAAACCTGCGACGCGACACGTTCCAAGACGACGCGGAGTGTAGGTCGATTCTCTTGTCTGTAGGTCGCCACACTCTTCCGAGAGGATCATCCCGCTGAATATTCATTCTCGAGAACGGCGTGGTACGTTCGCGGAGCGAGTCGCGTGGGAAGCGCCACGAAATTTACGGGCACCTAAACGATGGTGCCCCGTTGATCACGATAACGATCGCGCAACGACTCGGAGAGGTACACACTCACGGTACAACACCACGGGTCGGCCAAGACGCGAGTGAAAATCACGTATCTGGCCGGAGCACGATCTCTCAACCGCGGGGGATCCGCGAACGTTGAATGAATGAATGAAACCATTCGGTGACGGTGGTGGTTGCGGAATCAGAAATTGCTGCATCTTGCTCCGCAAATCGTGACGTAAGAATTATTCCCTGTTTCGTGTGTTCAGAAGAAACGTAAC